ACATTTCTTTATTCGAGTTAAAACGAGTTATCTTAAAAAACATCGTAAATACCCCTATATTCTGAATAAAATGTTAATAGATTTATTTTCGAACAGTTCCACTAGTGTTAAGTCTGTGTGATTACGTTTGCTACTCAAACCTGACCAAGTTCCAACGAGTTTATTTCCCTATCGATTGAATCAATTACGTTCAAACATACTTTTTGATAAGCTGAGCCGTTATTCCGGTCTGAAGTTTGAAGGTGAGCAACATTTTGCGAGGTTGTTCAGCTATTTCGTTTCCTTGATTCTTATTTTTATATTGGGTTTTCCCATTACCTATTCACCCAATACACTGCTATTGAAAGAGCGAGTTTGGAAGCCCATGGTTTGAGTCGGGCAACTCCAGAGAACCGGGATAAAAATCATGCACATCTAAACACTTAACAGACCGCCAGGCCTTAGGAGAAAGACAAGAAGAATTTGTGCTTTACATTCTCTGACAAGTTCATGCAGAACTTCTTATACGTCTCTCCTCACTGTAGTGATCAGGGATTCCAAGTTAAGGGGCCTTTCAAAGCCTTCAAAGAATATTATAAGTGTATTCAAGATGTTTGTAAAATGTTATCTCGTGTTGACTCGAATAGAGAAATGTCCAGGAAGATCGTGAACGCCTCCTTCTTTCTTAGGATGTTAAACGTTAATTTTTCCGCAATGCTGAGCGTGGCGATTGGTAGAACCAGAAATAAAACTATAACAGTCCTTAAAAGCTAGTTGTTTGTTTTGGTTTTGTTATCTGTTAAATTGTAAGATGCCAGAATTTAATAAAAAAGGAAAATTAATCAACTCTTTCATTCAAACTTCTGTCTATGCACTCGAAAAGTACTAACAAAACCTCCGAAGGCCATCCATTGACAATGCTCTGTATACGTGGGAGCTTCTCCGCCTTAGTTATAATCATATTTTTAATTATTTTTGCCGTCCACGGTCGGAACGTAGAGGTTAAGTCCGGGAGTTGGGACATCCGGCCTTAACTGCAACTTCATCACCTCCGAGTCTTCCAGTTCAAGGTATTTATTCAACAAGAGCACAACGATAAAATCGTCGGAGGGCAATATATAATATTATACTTGCAATTTCTAAATAACACTTTTCAGAATCCATCAATACAAGCTACCGTGAAAAAATGGATAAAAATGAAGCACCAGTGCTCTAGAAAAGAAAATGACATTAAATCTTCTAAGCTTAACCATCCATTCTTTATTTTACCCAGTTTTTTGTTTTTACAGGAAGCTTAAATTCATGACAATTTTAAAATAAACTTGTAAAACTGTTTACAGGACATAGAACGAGTTTACTCTTTAAGCTTTTGTCACGTCGAATGATGTATTGTCCTACGGCTTAATCATGATGAGCTTAACTGTTAAAGGGCGGACAAAAAATATTCAATCAGCAGGCCCGGTCAAAATTGTTTGTCGGGCTGAATAGACAAAAGATCGATGTTTTAAATCTGTAGAATAAATTTCAATGTCAAAAAGTAAAACATCGGAGAAAAAATATTTGTCGCACGCCAAAGCTACAAATTTAGTTGACGCTGACAAAGTCAAAACCTTTTACAATTTTCTTATTATTTTCAATTATTTTGATTTGAAACCCGCAGACTTCATATGTATTATATAAATAAAAAACATATATAATTAATATATAAATATATTATTTTTATTATTAACGATCCCTGGCACAATCTCAAAAGCACGAAAAGAATTCTTCATTTTTTTCTTTCTAAAATGGACTTGCCATACTAAAATAATGATCCCATACTGTATTAGCCAACCTTTTTCAGAAATCTTTATGGAAGGTATTGGTCGAAATGAAAAACTTAGTGTCACGAGCTGATCGAAGCCACGATAGGTCGAGGGTTCGAATCCCGCTCGCGACACTAACTTTTTCATTCATCCAATACCTTACGTAAAGACTACTTCATTGCAAGAAGTTATTTGCTCAATTCGACCAGGAAATATAATGGCTTTTTCACAAAAATTGAGCGCATTTTTAAATTTAAGTCCTATTTCCTAAACAATGAGTCATCTACATTAGAAGGATATTTTAGGTTAAATTATCTTTCATTATTTTCATAACAATAAAATGTTTTTCATATAAATTATTTAACTTGCACTTCTTTACGAGTTTGTATTTATATGCATATACTTTTCCCTATTTACCTTTATATTATTTCTAATCAAACGTTTTACTGAATGTAATTCCCCTAAATATGAACAAAATACCATTTTTTACATACGTAATCAACATATTTTTATGTAATTGTGTTCTAATATTATTTATAAGATATTTTAATTTAGAATACTATTTAAAAATTTATAGTAACCATGATAAAGGTGATAGTTTTATAGGTACGCTTATATGAAACATTCTTTTAAGTTATTCTTACTTTACATATTGTTACTTAAGTAATTTTTCCTTTATTTTCTTACTTTTTCCTTTTATATTGATATAGTTTAGATATTGTATATTTCTATATTTAAACATTTTCTAAACTTGGATTAATTTCGTAAAATATATTATTTTTATTATTAACGATTTAACCCTTTCCGTCTAAGGCCATTTCGCAGACACAAACCTTCAAAAATCAACATTAAACCACAAAAAGATAAGATTTTTCTTCGTTCTTTCAAAAATGGATTTGCAATACTAAAATATTAATATTACAATATTAATTTACAGGTCTATTTAAAAATTTGTAATCACAATGATAAATGTGATTTTTTTGTAGGTATGCTTATATGAAATCTTGTTTTAAGCTATGTTCTTACTTTGCGTATTGTTATTTAAATATTTTTTAGTTTTATTCCCTTGGTTTTGCTTTTATATTGTTATATTTTATAAAATGTATATTTCTATATTTAAAAATGTTTGTAAATTAGATTAATTTTGTAAAATATATTATTTTTATTATTAACGATTTCACCCTTTCCGACTAAAGCCGTTTCGCTGGCACCAACCTTCAAAAATTACATTAAAAGCTGGAAAATATTTGATTTTTCATTTTTTTTATATCAAAAATGGACTTGCCATACTAAAATACAGATCCCATGCTCCGAAATTCGTTATCCTATTTTTTAATTTAAAATTAAATTTCTTAAAGAATGAGCCATCTGCATAACCATTCCAGACAAACTTAACGCTGTGTCCCTGGCAGAAACTTTCATTGAAAGGTCGAGAAAATTAGATTTTTTCTCTCTTTCTTTTGTCAAAAATGACTTTTACAACACACACACACACACACACACACACACACACACACACACACACATAATACTATTTCTCTCTGATATATATTCATTGCTCATAAAAATTGAGGTCGTTTATAAAATTCAAGTTAAATATCTTAAAGAATAGGCCATTTTCTGAACCCGTTCATACTAATTTAAAACCGTTTCTCTGGCACATAAGCAACAGAAGATTAGGTTTTTTTTAATGAACTTCTCACACTTTAACACAGATACACTCCATTACACATTCATTTTTTTTTAAAAATTTAACTCATTTTTAAAATTTACGTTAAATTTGCTAAACAGTGAGTAATTTACTGAACCCTTTCCGACTAACTAAAGCCTTTTGGCATAAAATTTGGAATTTAACTTCATAAAGAAAGAAAAACGAAACAAAGCAGCAAAGAGATAGAGAACAACCAAACATAAAAATTGTTAGTAATATCTACACTAAACTCAGACAAAAAAATAATAACAATGTTGGGGATGGAAGCAAATTTAGTTTTTTAAAACAAATTTTAAATTTAGCGGTTTCCGAATGATTCAGTTTGTATTTTTTACTAAACATTCAATTAAAAGTTGTATAAGGGTGAATTTCTTTAAAAAAATTTAACGCTTTTTTTAACGCTTTTTCGTGGATTTTCCGAAAAATGTATAGTTCAAGAGGTACGTGTAGAATTATGACGAAAACCGGAGATAGTTGAAAGAACATAAAATTTTGAATATTTGTGATAAGTTTGAGAACCGGACCACGGTTCATATGAACATTTTTTTTACATTTGAAGTGTAGAAGCACTTGACAAACTGTCGAACGAGCAGCGAATCCCAGCAGATATAATAAAATATACAACTTACTTATTTGTACATTTCAAAAACATGTTTATGACGCTCTATCGTACCAAATAGGAAAGGTAAATAAAACTTCAGTGTTATTTTGTCAGAAAAATTCCTTAACGTTTCAGTTAATTCATACCAAACTTTTTTGTAGATCATTTTCAAATCGTTTCTTTTGGAAAATCATCTGCAAATAGGATATAAATTATGCTTTAATAAATTTAATAAAACAAAAACTGTAATTATTGCAATTTTTAAAGTAGAGATTACGCTAAAAAAATTATTTACCTTTTTTTATCTAAATTGAGATGTTTTTGAATAAACCAGGGAGTAACCGGTAAGTTAATACATCGGTATATATGTTTTTTTGTTTAGTTTTGTAGGAATAAAAATTAAGTTTTATATGTAAAATATATTAATAAACACTAAACTATTTTTTCGTTTGTTTGTTTTACACACTTCAAACTTTTACATTGCGTAAATAGAAAAATTATTCTATAAATATGTTTGTACGTACCAGAATAAAAAGAATAAATATTACTAATGAAAATAAGAGAAAAATTGAAATTAAAAAAATTAAAATAATTGCTTTTAATTGTCACTTCATGCATATTCTCAAGGAAAAAAGTAATTTGAATAATTTGAACGTAATTTAAAATGAGGAGAGGTTTTCGGGTAGTCTCATCACTCTTTGGTGAGAAATGATTATTGCTTTGTATCTTTCTTCTTTTTAGGGAAAACAAAGTGGAAATTTAAATGTAATTATTTAAAAAAAAGGACAAATCGTATAAAAAAAGAGAAACTTTAATATTAAATAAAATAAATGCAATGGAACAGTTAAATTGTCAATTTATTTCCGTAAATTTCATAACGTTTTCGATATCTGCACAGACTTGCCTTGATCATGCGTTGGGTAGTGTTAGCGATGATGTCGGGCTGGGATGAGACGCGATACTGGCCCCAGCATCACTTCTCGGCCTCACTGCCGCCCCCGCATGCGCCCCGTCGGCGTCGAGCGTGGGCTCGGGGGTGGCGAGAGGGGCCACGGGGGTGGATACAAATTAGTAACCCCATTATTTCCGTCGCTAGCCACCACCCTTACGCACACACGCTCGCTTCTCGACGTTCCCATTATCTTCTGCACGGATGCCTAACATCCACCTTTTTCTAATTCCGCCTTCCATAAATAATACCTTTCCCTCTTTTTCGCTCCATTTTATTTGAAGCTTACAAGGCCGGTGATATTGGTTTTTCTGAATACAATTTATGTTTGCGGCGGTCTCTTTTTCGCACGAAAAACTTGATATCATTTTGAAAAACCCTCTTATTGACTCGCCAAGGATTGGTGGTTAATTGGCATATGGTGGGATGAATACATCACTTTTAAATAGTCTGTTATACCTAAAAATTAAACATTAAGTTTTTTCAGTTAAATATAGATGTATTTCCAAGGTTTCTCCACTGCGCCTTTTATGAGCTATTGCTCTGTTTAAATCGCTTAAATTGCTCTCGCTTAAATTATTACGCCCGGTTGTATTTCTTCCTCAGTTCTGCCATGTTTAACATAAAATTTTGTTATTGGGTGTGTTGGTTTCACTTCGGATCTTATCAAATTCTGCGCGTACCGTAATGATTGATGCCATCCTTTTCCAAATGTCCATTCATTCTGCTGCACCCGATCAACGATCTTGTCTTAATTCTGAGCCTTTTCCTGCCTGCTTTGACGCATTCCGCAGTTCTTACGTACCTACCTTCGAAGGATTTTGTGTTGTCGATGCCCAGTGGGTAATTCCCAATCTTTCACCCAACAAACCCCAAACAAAAGGGCTCAGGACCGATGACATCAGTAGGACCAACTATCAACCAAAATCCTTCAAAATGCTTGTAATAAGATAAATGAATGGATAAAAAAATGAAAAATTAAGCTAAATCGGCATAAATCAGTTCATCTAATCTTTACCAACAAAAAAGCGGACTATGTTCCGTCGCTCACAATCGATGCAACTACTATACCATACAGCGATATAGCAAAATATCTGAGAATGACCTTAGATAACAAGCTTAGATGGAAAGTACAGGTGAAGAAAAAATTAAAGAAATAGGTTTAAGGTATAAACAAGTACTGGTTGATAGGACATGGCTCCAACCTTGCTGTACAAAATAAAATATAAGGGGTAGCCATGATGTTTGTTATATGTTAACTCGTGTTAATGAGCCTCAGGCCTTACAGAGTGTGGACGACATGGCACACCTGAAAACTCTGGGAAAGGGTTTCTAATTTCAATATCTGTTATTACACGTAGTTATATTATACAGGCCGAATCAAAATAAATTAGGAAGGGAAAGATCGGGCTATCCGCTGCCGGGCTAGGGCTTTTTGGGGTTCTGGAGGATTTTGGTCCCAAACTCATTACTCAGCTTCTCGATAAATCTATGGCCAATCAGCTCAGCCCTGAAAGCAAAAAAACACTCATGTTAACGCGAATAGAGGAATGTTCAGTAAGATCGTGAATGACCCCATCTTTTCTTAGCATGTTAAATTAATTTTTCCCCAATGGTGCGCATGGCAAATGGTAGAACCAAAACTAAAGCAATAACAGTCCTTGAAGGCTTGTTGTTGTTTGTTATGGTTTTGTTTTGTGTTAAATTGTAAGATACCAGCAGTTAATAAAAACGGAAAATTAATCAACTCTTTCTCACAAAATGCTATCTATGCACTCGAAAGTACACAAACAACACACTTCAATTCTGACATACCTAACATGTTTCCTAACGTTTAACAGCCTACAACTTTATAGGCTAGGGGTATATCTTTTATGAATGAGAGTATAAGGACAGGTCAGAAATTAACAAAAGAAATGTATTTTTTAAAAGGATAGTTCCTAATCACAGTAAGTTGTTTTGCAACAATCAGGATTTCGAGCCTTTTAGCTTATCATCAGGTGGAAGGACTTCTACAACCACGTCTCTCGACATGAATTGCCAAAGTGAACCGCTGAAACCTCCGCCAACGCGACGTTCCAATTATCAGCTGATTTTTNATTAAAAAAATCAGCTGATAATTGGAACGTCGCGTTGGCGGAGGTTTCAGCGGTTCACTTTGGCAATTCATGTCGAGAGACGTGGTTGCAGAAGTCCTTCAACCTGATGATGAGCGAAAAGGCTCGAAATCCGGATTGTTGCAAAACAACTTACTGTGAGTAGGAACTATCCTTTTAAAAAGTATTGAACACCACACTCACTCCATCATTTATCATTTCTAATAAAGAAATATATTGGTCTAATTTAATTAATGAGAGTATTTAATAATACATGTAAACAAAAAACAGCTGTTAAATTCATGGCTACCATGTTGGTTACCTACGACCTAACGGATAGTAGTGCGACTACATTTTCGACCTAACATCTAACATTGGCCCTGGCCTATTAGATCGAGAAATGTTAACTAGCCGATTTTTACAAGTCTACGTCATCATTTTTATAGATCTAACAGGACTTAACAGAGTTAACAGGGTTAACACAAAGATCGTGAATACCCCTATTATTATACAAACAAGTCCTAAAGCCTATGAGGACAAATGGTATTCAACTATGGGTATGTTCCAAGCACAACAATATCAAAATCATACAAACACTCCAGCATAAAATCTTAAGTAACGTAGTCAGTGCACCTTGATACGTAAAGAATAAAGACTTACATAGGGATCTTAAGATCCCGGAGATCACCGTGAAATACAAAGATTTGCCGCCAAACACCAGTCTCGCCTCACCAGTCACGAGAACGTGGAAGCGACAAAACTCTTACATAACCGTAACATCGTCAGAAGATTAAAAAGAACAAAGCCTTATGAACTAGTGTAGTTAAAAGTTAGTGAACAGTGAAATGTAAATCTTATGTACCAATGGGCTTGTAAGAATGTAAATATTTATTTATTCTGTATATCAGGGGTGCTCAAACTTGAACTGCTGGCGATCTACCTCAATATTTTTAGACTACTTACGATCGACTCTGAGAGGCTGCAAGTGTGTGTGATGCAGGGTTGTCGTACATACACGATACACCCTACCTACCTAGGTAGGGTGTACCGTAGCATATATAGATATTAGCTTTCTGCACAATATAGGTACATTATTTTAGTCAAGGTTTGGGTTAGGTTTAGTTAGGTTCTTCTCTACAATATCAATGAAAAAACTCATAGTTATTCAAAATTGCGAGTTTATTGGTTGTTACAAAACAAAAGAGTTACATATGGTGTTA